ATTTAAAAGACGGGTAGATGAGGTGCTTAGGGACATGGTTTAGTGGGCATGGTGGTGTTGGGTTGACGGTTGGACTCGATGATCTTGGAGGTCTCTTCCAACCTTAATGATTCTATGATTCTATAGTGTGCAGCACCGACTTAGGAAGGTAGCTAGTGGCTGCCTAATGTTGGGCTCACTTGCCCAAGGCTGCATCTACTCATGCAACTTTCTTTTATCTCTTCAATTCAGATACTGAATTGATTAATGCAAAAAGCTAAACAGACTAGAAAACTTACCTCTAGTGATGGACTCTTGACAAACCTCAAGAGGTACTACTTCATGTATGCACTGAGGATGAGAACAGCATATCAAATGCCTTTGAATAACATAAGTTTTTGTCTAGAGATGGGAAGAAGTTTCTCCATGTACCTATTGATACTGAAGTTGTGATCTCTGCCTTCAGCTATATTGCATCACTGTAAGATGGTTGGGAGGTTGCACAACTTTCTTTTAAAAGTGTTGGATATGGAAGCCTATGCTCCTCAAATGATAAGTATTATTCTTTTAACCTTACCGTTATCTCCAGCAAATTTATTAGGGTTATAGTGCATATACTTAGCTGTGCTGCCCATACTCACTGGCTTGGATATGCTGCTTCTCATAGGCAGAACTAGAGATGAGGACTGATTTCTTGCATTCCTTCACGTATAGGATGAAACTGGTGAATCACAGGTAAAAAGTATATGTTGATTGAGTCATGATGACAGCTGCTGAACTGAAAGAAGTTTGCATCAAAGCTCTGAGGCTTATGATTTTTGGTGCATCTTCAAAAAGGATGCACAATGTTACATATGAAGAACTTCGAGGTTTCAAGCTAAAGCACTCAAAAGTGAGCGTATGTCAAAGGTCTCTTTTCTGTGTATGTATGCAGAATGCTATAATGACATAATCGCTGTTTGTTTTGCATGATCACTGTATGAGTCAATATGCAGAATGGACGACAAATGGAGTAAGGATTTAGAGAAGCTCTATTTTTACAGTTAGGCTAGAATCTAGGGAAGCTGGATGGCGTTCCTTTTTCTGACAGATTTGGACGAGATGTCAAAGGGCGCTCAAAAAAAAAAAAAAGGATGTGTACATTAGCACTGACTAAAAGATTCCATAAGTAAGCCGAAGTTTGGTATCATATAGCTTTTAAGTAACTGATGTTGCAATAAAGTTCATCTAGTATGTGTAAAAATTGCTAGATTGCTAGTTAATGGCAGATTTTGTGCTTAAAATATGGGATGGATTTCAGCTGAAGGAAATCATAAGGAATATTGTTTAATATGTTTTGGAATATATTAGATCCACAGAGTTAAAATGGCTTTCTAGTGCAAATTCTGATTGGTTTTAATGCTAGGTTGTTTTTTTGTTTTCTGTTTTACAGTGTCATGTGGGAACCAATGGGAGACGGTAAAAAGATTATTTCACTGGCTGATAATAACATATTATTGTGGGATTTGCAGGAAAGTTCAGCCAAAGCTGTGGTAAGAATTTTTTTTTTAACTAATCATGATATACTTGAATATAGTACTAACAACAACATTCCCTAGTCTAGAATTTGCTAATCTTTTAACTACTCAGAAATATCTTGTTGCCTTTAATATGGGTGGGGGAAATGAACACTCTAGCAGTTGTCTTGAATGTGAGTGTTTAAGAGTAGGCAACTTGGTATTTTTGTATCTGTTGCTAGTGGTTAAATATTTTCCTTTTTCTAGAGCTGCCCTTATTTTCCTACTGTGAATAATCTAAAATAAAGCAATGCTAATTTGATAAATGTGTACAAGAGAAAAATTGGTGACTGGTAAAGCCAAAGGTTACTGAATTCAGATAATAGTATATTAACTCATGTTGGTTAATACCATGCAGCCCTCTATTTAATTTACAACCCTTGTATGTCTAAGCATAATATAAATGTCTTTATTTACTGTGCACTGCTTTGAGTTCTCAGTATTCATTTAATCTAGTAACATACTGTCTATTCAGATTATTTCACTTACGGTTAAAACCATCTTATTCGGGAACATATATAAAAAGGTGTCATTGGTGTAGATTTCTGTCTGATTATGCCACCTCTTATAGATAAACAAAGAATTCTGTTTGTTTATGTATAATGACATAGATTGTATATAGAGAACTTTGAATGTTTCTGTATAGAGTAATTTAGGTCAGTGTCTGTCCTTAAAAATGGAAACTGATTATGTCAAGGACATTATTTTTCAGTTGATCTGTTGTCACTTCTTGAATTAACTCCTTAGTTTGAGTTGTTCAGGGTTAGTTTCTTTTCTTGGATGCTACAGAATCAGATTTTTCAACTGGCAGTTGCTTAAAGAGTCAAGACGTTGTGTCCGTAAACTCTTCCCTGTTGTACCATCTGACTGTGTGCAAGTAGATGAAGTCTTGAGTTGTTATTTTGCTAGATTTTGCGTAGTATCGATGTGGTGCAGTATAGTTTAATCCTTTATGTTCATAATTAAGCCCTTTGGGTTCCTTCACTATATGAGGAAACTTCAGCTTTTTTTTCACCTGGAGCTTCAGTCAGTGTTATATTACCTTCTAAGGCTTCTTCAAATTAGTGTTTGTTTTTATCAAATTGACGTTGGGAGTTTCTGAAGGCTAGCCTCCAGGAGCTTGACTGTAGCATTGTATCCACTGGATTTGCATTACTCCTACGTTAGTCAGTATTTCTTTTCTGATGCCTGCATAACACACTGACTTTTTTGGAACGCCTTCTTTAAACCTGTTGAAAAACTACTTTTGGCGGTGGTGCTGCTTCCATGCTATAGCTCTTCATGTCTCTTTGAAGTGCTGGGACTGCTAGACTACTTAGCATTTTCCCTTTCTCTCTTTCAGTAGCTCTGTCCTCCCTTACTAAAGTTCTGTTGAATGTTAATTAGTTTTTTCACTGTCCCAACCACTTTCTTATAACTGTCTCAAATTTCTTCCTAATCCTAATCTCTCTAAAATATGATTTCCGTTGGGACGCTGTCTAGTCTGTTACCAGTCTCTCTATAAGTATGTGTGGGAATCTTGTAATGAATGCCAAATTCCTTATTTTTTCATAGAATCATAGAATCATTAAGGTTGGAAGAGACCTCTAAGATCATTGAGTCCAACCATAGACCCAACACCACCATGCCCACTAAACCATGTCCCTAAGCGCCTCATCTACCCGTCTTTTAAATACTTCTAGGGATGGTGACTCAACCACTTCCCTGGGCAGCCTCTTCCAATGTTTAACCACTCTTTCAG